CTGCTGGGAATATTGAGGGCTCTGCGGACGCTTCGCTCTCCGTCGCTCCGCCATCTTGTGGTCGGCTCTGGAATAGAAAAAAAGAATCCGTCAGTGGGAGGCGACATTCCGAGGAAGGCGGAGCTCATCACACGGATGGCGGGAGTCATACAGGAAGGTCATGTGACAGGATATTCTGCCCACAAACCCAAACACAATCTCAGTTTCATGTTCTCCATGAACCCGGATTGGTCCCTCCCCCTCTCTCTCAGTTGCCCCTGGAAGCGCCAATCAGAGGGCATTGTGTGGTCACAGCATAAAAGGGAGACTCTGATTGGCTCTCCTGTACAGCACAGACAGATGCCTCCCCTGAGGAGTCAGAACACCCCCTACAGAAGGTGGTCAGTGACTGTCACCCACCCCACACGTCCAGGGGGAGGGGCCACAGCACCACTGTTTGGTGCTGGGATGGGGCACAATCAGTGATTAGAATCCCCCCATGGGGGGTCATTTATATGGGATGCACACATCATATCCTGGGATCCTTCATTCGGCCTCCATACAAAGTCTACATAGGAAATAAAGGAGTTCATAATGTGCTGATGAGGGTGCCAGCTGTTGCCATAGAGATAAACCACCCCCAATGAAGAGGGGGGGGGATACTGGTAAAATAATCCCCACCAATGTCAGTCCATGAGACAGGAGGCTCCACCCCGGAGCCCCTCCTCCAGTAATGTGGCCACTCCCACCCTTCACCCCGAGCGACCCACCAACAACCGGCCAGTCCAGGGCTGGATCCTTCCTGAACTCCGCATCCATCTGTACTCACACTGACAGGTGGAGATTCTCAGGGCGCCGCCATCTTATCTGGTCATGTGATCAAGTGTGGAGAGGTCACGTGTCCTCCTGCGGAGCGTGATTGGTGAGCACTGTTTATAGAGCCCCGCCCCAGCCTCTTGGTGGTCTCTCTTGGTCACGTGAGGGGGGTGTGGTTTCTTGCGACATATAAAGATCAAGCGTGTATGTGCATGTGGTGGGAGGGGTCGGAAGGCGGGCTGTGTGGGTGTGGCTTCCTCAGTGAAGGAGGCAAAGGCCGGGGGACTGTCAATCGTCCCCGATGCAGGCAGGCCGGTGATCTGTAACGTCGTTGTGTCTGATTATGATTATATGGGGAGCCGATATCACTGATCCTGATGTGTGTGTCTGATGGCTGCCGATCATCATCACCCATCGTCCTCCTTCTATTCCGAGGAGAGGGGCATACAGCTCTTACCATAGAGATCCCCTCCACAGCTTATCCTCTCTTACTATAGAGATCACCTCCACAGCTTATCCTCTCTTACCATAGAGATCACCTCCACGGCTTATCTTCTCTTACCATAGAGATCCCCTCCACAGCTTATCTTCTCTTACCATAGAGATCACCTCCACAGCTTATCCTCTCTTATCATAGAGAACCCCTCCACAGCTTATCTTCTCTTACCATAGAGATCCCCTCCACAGCTTATCTTCTCTTACCATAGAGATCCCCTCCACAGCTTTATCCTCTCTTACCATAGAGAACCCCTCCACAGCTTATCTTCTCTTACCATAGAGATCCCCTCTACAGCTTATCCTCTCTTACCATAGAGAACCCCTCCACAGCTTATCTTCTCTTACCATAGAGATCCCCTCCACAGTTTATCCTCTCTTACCATAGAGATCCCCTCCACGGCTTATCCTCTCTTACCATAGAGAACCCCTCCACAGCTTATCTTCTCTTACCATAGAGAACTCCTCTACAGCTTATCCTCTCTTACCATAGAGAACCCCTCCACGGCTTATCCTCTCTTACCATAGAGATCCTCTCTTACCATAGAGATCCCCTCCACACCTTATCCTCTCTTACTATAGAGAACTCCTCCACAGCTTATCTTCTCTTACCATAGAGATCCCCTCCACAACTTATCTTCTCTTACCATAGAGAACCCCTCCACGGCTTATCCTCTCTTACCATAGAGATCCCCTCCACAGCTTATCCTCTCTTACCATAGAGATCCCCTCCACAGCTTATCCTCTCTTACCATAGAGATCCCCTCCACAGTTTATCCTCTCTTACCATAGAGATCCCCTCCACGGCTTATCCTCTCTTACCATAGAGAACCCCTCCACAGCTTATCTTCTCTTACCATAGAGAACTCCTCTACAGCTTATCCTCTCTTACCATAGAGAACCCCTCCACAGCTTATCTTCTCTTACCATAGAGAACCCCTCCACAGCTTATCTTCTCTTACCATAGAGAACCCCTCCACGGCTTATCCTCTCTTACCATAGAGATCATCTCTTACCATAGAGATCCCCTCCACAGCTTATCCTCTCTTACCATAGAGATCCCCTCCACAGCTTATCTTCTCTTACCATAGAGAACTCCTCTACTGCTTATCCTCTCTTACCATAGAGATCCCCTCCACAGCTTATCCTCTCTTACCATAGAGATCCCCTCCACAGCCGGACGTAGGAGATGCAACACGGAAGCTTTATTTGGGGAGGAGCCGGACGTAGGAGATGTGTCAGGGAAGCTTTATTAGGGGAGGAGCCGGACGTAGGAAATGCGTCATGGAAGCTTTGTTGGGGGAGGAGCCGGACGTAGGAGATGCGTCATGGAAGCTTTGTTGGGGGAGGAGCCGGATGTAGGAGATGCGTCACGGGAGCTTTGTTGGGGTGGAGCCGGACGTAGGAGATGCGTCACGGAAGCTTTTTTGGGGGAGGAGCCGGACTAGGAGATGCGTCACGGAAGCTTTGTGGGGGAGGAGCCGGACGTAGGAGATGCGTCACGGAAGCTTTGTTGGGGAGGAGCCGGACTAGGAGATGCGTCAGGGAAGCTTTGTTTTGGGGGAGGAGCCGGACGTAGGAGATGCGTTAGGGAAGCCTTGTTGGGGGAGGAGCCGGACTAGGAGATGCGTCACGGAAGCTTTGTTGGGGAGGAGCCGGACGTAGGAGATGCGTCACGGAAGCTTTGTTGGGGAGGAGCCGGACTAGGAGATGCGTCAGGGAAGCTTTGTTTTGGGGGAGGAGCCGGACGTAGGAGATGCGTTAGGGAAGCCTTGTTGGGGGAGGAGCCGGACTAGGAGATGCGTCACGGAAGCTTTGTTGGTGAGGAGCCGGACGTAGGAGATGCGTCACGGAAGCTTTGTTGGGGAGGAGCCGGACTAGGAGATGCGTCAGGGAAGCTTTGTTTTGGGGGAGGAGCCGGACGTAGGAGATGCGTTAGGGAAGCCTTGTTGGGGGAGGAGCCGGACTAGGAGATGCGTCACGGAAGCTTTGTTGTGGAGGAGCCGGGCTAGTAGATGCGTCACGGAAGCTTTGTTGTGGGAGGAGCCTGACGTAGGAGATGCCTCACGGGAGCTTTGTTGGGGGAGGAGCCGGACGTAGGAGATGCGTCACAGAAGCTTTGTTGGGGAGGAGCCGGGCTAGGAGATGCGTCACAGAAGCTTTATTGGGGGAGGAGCCGGATGTAGGAGATGCGTAACGGAAGCTTTGTTGGGGGAGGAGCCGGACGTAGGAGATGCGTCACAGAAGCTTTGTTGGGGAGGAGCCGGGCTAGGAGATGCGTCACAGAAGCTTTATTGGGGGAGGAGCCGGATGTAGGAGATGCGTAACGGAAGCTTTGTTGGGGGAGGAGCCGGACGTAGGAGATGCGTCACAGAAGCTTTGTTGGGGAGGAGCCGGGCTAGGAGATGCGTCACAGAAGCTTTATTGGGGGAGGAGCCGGATGTAGGAGATGCGTAACGGAAGCTTTGTTGGGGGAGGAGCCGGACGTAGGAGATGCGTCACAGAAGCTTTGTTGGGGAGGAGCCGGGCTAGGAGATGCGTCACAGAAGCTTTATTGGGGGAGGAGCCGGATGTAGGAGATGCGTAACGGAAGCTTTGTTGGGGGAGGAGCCGGACGTAGGAGATGCGTCACAGAAGCTTTGTTGGGGAGGAGCCGGGCTAGGAGATGCGTCACAGAAGCTTTATTGGGGGAGGAGCCGGATGTAGGAGATGCGTAACGGAAGCTTTGTTGGGGGAGGAGCCGGACGTAGGAGATGCGTCACAGAAGCTTTGTTGGGGAGGAGCCGGGCTAGGAGATGCGTCACAGAAGCTTTATTGGGGGAGGAGCCGGATGTAGGAGATGCGTAACGGAAGCTTTGTTGGGGGAGGAGCCGGACGTAGGAGATGCGTCACAGAAGCTTTGTTGGGGAGGAGCCGGGCTAGGAGATGCGTCACAGAAGCTTTATTGGGGGAGGAGCCGGATGTAGGAGATGCGTAACGGAAGCTTTGTTGGGGGAGGAGCCGGACGTAGGAGATGCGTCACAGAAGCTTTGTTGGGGAGGAGCCGGGCTAGGAGATGCGTCACAGAAGCTTTATTGGGGGAGGAGCCGGATGTAGGAGATGCGTAACGGAAGCTTTGTTGGGGGAGGAGCCGGACGTAGGAGATGCGTCACAGAAGCTTTGTTGGGGAGGAGCCGGGCTAGGAGATGCGTCACAGAAGCTTTATTGGGGGAGGAGCCGGATGTAGGAGATGCGTAACGGAAGCTTTGTTGGGGGAGGAGCCGGACGT